CCCAGGAGGAAAAGCAGAGCAAGGGCCCTCATACATCACAGCTTCACCCCATGGATTTCCAATGAGATGCCAGCTCCTAGGCGGCAAAATTGACACCAAAAGATGCTTGCAAGCTCCTAGGCCACACAGAGGTTTTATGTGATGTTTTGATCTGTTCAGATTTACTCTTTCTGGTGAGGCAGGGGTGGCCCTGAGATAAAAGAAAGGACTTCCCAATATCCTGTTTTAAGTGATATTATGCATTTAGGGAAGACTTTCCTCCTCTTCTTTTCTTTTTTCTTTTTTTTTCAATTTTGTTTCCATCCCTGTGAAGAAGATAACAAAGGATGGCATGTCCTCAGAGCACACTGATGTGTCACTGTGGATGCCAATCCCCACAGACGCTCCTGATGTTATTAATTTTTAAAACAAACTTGCTGATTGAGGTTCTGACTGCCTTTAAATTGTCTCTACAAGGAGACTGTGTACTAATTAACCCACAGAAACAATCAATGATGTACCTTTTTCAAGTTTCAGGGTGATTAGAATATGAAAATGAAGAGCACAATGGTGCAGATGTTTTAAAATCACAGCAGACAGCAATTAGTGACATGGGAACCAGCTGCTTATCTCTCCAGATAAAGCCTCTTAATAGGGAATTACACTTGAGGAGCCATTACACAGATGGATCTGCGAATGATTTAAAGAGGGGGCGTTGTAGTATTAACTTTGATTTGCAAGCCAGATTCTTGACAAGCTTTATGTGTGTTACCTCCTAAAAAAGGTGCATTTGGAGCAGGAGAGAACGATCCCTTTAAGCACACAGATTTTTTTTTTCAGGTGTTGGGTTTTCTAAATATATATTTTATCATAATTTTCTTAAAAGTTTTATTTTTTTTTTAATTTGGATTTTTTAAAATCATTCTTATTATATTACCAGACCATTGATTTTGTTGTTGTCAACTACCCCCAGTTTTTGCATTTGGATTGGAAGCACAATGTGAGAACGAGTATGCAGACTGAAGCATCCTTAAAAAGAGTCCCTGGGGGATGGATTCTGCTGCTGGGTACCCCTTGCAGAGTAGGGTGCTGCCCCTCCTGGGACTGGCACAGCATCATCTCCTCAGCTGCAAGGGCTGCATACCAGAATAAAACTGTTTTGGGGACCAATCACGTCTGCAGGGCTGCACAGGACTGGAGGGACAGCATAAAACACACAGCATAAAACCTTTTCTTGTCTGTGGCCAGTGATCACCAGTGTATGGGATCTGTCCTGCTCACAGGTCTGCCCACCACTGCCAAAGCTGAGGCCTGAAACTCACCAGTTTGTCATTCAAATCTTATTCTACTAATAAGAGGATGCTAATCTTATTCCACTAATAAGAGGATTGTAATCTTATTCTTATAGTCTAAGGTTTAGACATGTGCTGGATCAGGTCGCTCAAGCCTTTTTGCAGTTACAAAAGCTATCATCTTCTTTTTGTTGTATTTTGTTTTCTTTAAAGGAAAGCAGGGATTATTCAACCTACTAAAAACATCCTCTTTATATACTGAGCTGTATATGAAGAGAAATATTGACCAAGTATGCTCAGTTGTAGTAAAATTACATGAGTTGATTTACACTTCTACTTCCACAAAAGAAGGAGCACACTCTCAGTGCAGAATAGTTGGCTGTGGAAGAAAATCCCATTTAATGAAAGGGCAAATGACAAGCCCTGAAGGCCAGCACTGAAGTTTGAAGCATTTTTAGGGTCTCATAAACTAAAAAGTAAATAAAGATAAATCCTCCTGTTTTCATGAAAAAAAGCCCACTATTCTTGATGCTGGTCTCGGCTGGCTGCCACAGGAACTCTATTTGAGCCAACAGCCCTATGGAGCTGGAGTATATTACATACTTACTGACAAATAAAGTAAAGAATTTGGGTGAAAGGTATCAAGAGATCAGTTTCTTAAGATTCCCTTACCATCCTGACAGGTCTGACATCTCTGTCAGCTTAGCAGAGTCTTGGCTTAGCTGAGCTAGGCCTTATTGGCTTTTTGGGATGGTGCTCACACAGAAGGGAAAATTGAGGCCTAAGCATTAGGACTAACAGGATCAAACAGCAGCCCAGATGAATACATGGGAAATAAAATACACTTGGCCACATTACTTTCAACTGATTTAGTAGTGCTTTTAGGTAAACAATCCCCACATATCCAGTTCAGCCCCTGAAACCCAACCTGCTGCAGCAAAATTGTCTCTAGTCACTGTGCTGCAGAGGAATAATTTTTGGGTGGCATGGATGTGTCTGGCAAGGCAGAGCCAATCAATGTTTCTCTGGAAGAAGTTTCATGAGGAAACCCAGCAGACTGTAATGTGCTTGGGCAGATATATAGTTCTGACATCCTGCTTAGGAAATGGAGTCCCCTGATCCTGCAGACCGGTCAGTTTTTGAAGGCCTGTTGAAATTGGAGTGCTTATCTGCGTGATTAAATGCCTCCAGAGCTGGCACCTTTGATGACATAGGCATATCTTCCTCATGAATTTTAAGATCGATGTGGTGGTGGCCTGTGCTGCTGGAGCAATGACAGGGCTATCATTAGGGATGTGCTGGGAGTTGCATCATCACTGTGTAATGTGCAGGCCAAAGAAATGGGGCTGGAGGAGCCAAGCCCATATATCAGCATTCATCGCTGATCTATAGCTGGCCTCTCCATTCTGAGCCCTTATTAACTGCCTTAAAATACAGATCAGAGATTATTGCTCCTTCTAGACCATGGATCTCCATGTGTGTGATAGATATGGAGGGAATAGGATGTTGCCAGAGTGCGATGTGGTTTTGTTCCCTGCTGTAACCTTCCGTCTTATTTTTATCTTTTTTGTTTTCTCTTCCAAATGAAACGTTTCAGGTCATTTAGTTTCAAAGCTCAGCACTTGTAAGTAACGTGGGTGTAAGAAGCTGGTTTGGCTGCAGCCAGCAGGCTGGGATCCGTTCAGGAACAGCCTGGCCCTGCCTCAGTGTGGGTGCTGGGGCCCAAGAGGGGCCTCAGTCCAGCACTTCCAGGGCTTCTTCCCATCACAAGTTGTGGTAGCTTGGGGAGATGAGGTTTTATGTGAGGCTGGAGAGAAGCACAGCCATCTCCCCCTGGGACACCACCAGGGCATGGCCTGCCCATCTCCTTGTGCCAGGACACCCAGCCTAGTGGGAGAAGCCCAAGTGGCCCAGGCAAAATAGATCTCAGGAGCTTTGGGATCAGTTTAAAATAATTTAAATAAAACAAGCTGTAAAACTCCAGTGCTGGTGCTGCTGGTTTCCCCTCCCTGGGCCCATCCCAAGATGTGGACGTGGCTGGGCCCCCTGTTCTGAAGGAGGGCATCAGTGTGGGTTGTGTCCTCTGTGTGCTGCAGGGCTCGTGTGTGGGAGGCCACTGTGAGGAAGAGGAGGAGAGGGATTCATTCCCCAAGGGCTGTTTATGCTTTCAGCTCTTTTCTCAGGCTGAGGAAACCGGGTGTCGCTCACCCACGACATCTGCAGCTCCACCACAGCTGCATGCTTTCGTTCTCTCACTCCACAATTCCTGGAAATCTCTGTTTTCCCTGAGCATGGCTGGTCCATGTGTGTGACAGCTGAACTATCCACAGGATTTAAGACTCCCTTATTGCTGCTCAGACAATGGACCAGAACAACTTCATCATTATTGCCTATTCCAGAAAAGCCACATGTCTATATTTATATGGGCATGAAAGATAGCTCAGCATCAATTTGTCAATAATGTGCATGTTTAGTGGCCACTAAATAATGTGTCATGGGCTTGGGGTTGTCTTTTCAAACTTCTCTGAAGTTGCTCAGAACTAGGGATGCCTAATTTTCCCAGCTCAGAGCCCTCTTATTCCCTTTTGCCTGCTTGCCCCAAAATTTGTGTTGCAAACACCCCAAAGAGGGATCTAATGGGCTACTGAGAGGAGCTTAATTGTAACAGGGTGTTTGTAGGAACACAAGACACACTGTATTTATCTACTTTTCTTTCATTGGTTTTGTTTTTATTTTCAGCCTCATCATTTATTTGACATTCACAACAGTGTTTGTGCAAAAGCAGTTGTACGTTCTGACCCAGAGCTTTACAAAATAAAGCTGCAAAATCAAAAAAAACAAAACCCCAAAACAGATCAACCAAAGAAAGTAAAAAACAAATAGATAGATACTTTTTCTTTAAAAGGAAAAAGTTACAGCTGAAGTAAACCATTTTTTTTTTTAGCTGGAGGCCCACCAAGAGAAAAACAGTAGAGTTTCTTTTGCTCTGTAAGAGTCTTCAGCATAATTCTGCCCTTGCTGTAACCTCTGCGGCTTGAAGAGCTCCTGTCAGAGTAGAAATCATGTTGAAAATATCTCTCACCAACATTGCAAATAGCAGAGTTTTAAAATGGAAAGGGAGTAATGCAAATCTTGAACCTGCCAAGTGTGCCTCACACACTTGACGCTATGCATATGATTTTAAGCACTAAGTATGCGGGGATGGCTTCCATGTGGAAATTCAAGTAAATCTTTGCAGAATCTGCCTTCACAGGGAAGTGGACCCATGGGTTTTCCTCTTGTTTGTTACAATTTCCAAGATAATTTCGCAGTTTTCTTGTTTACAATAATGAGTTTAATTGCTGCTGTTGAGCCTCAAGTTCTGTGAGTGATTATTTTTCAGGAAAAAGGCATTCTCACCAGGAGGCTGAGTTGCACCATTCATCCATTGAAAGGGGATATTTCACTTGTGTTTTAAATTAAAAATCAATAGAATATGTTCCCTTAGTAATTTTGCATTTATAGAAGTATTTCCACTGTTTTTAGAGTAGGGAAACCAAACAAAACTTGTTTACTGTGCATGAAATCTAAATGCAAATTTGGCTCAAGTATAGGAAGATTTTATAAAGGTTCCTTACTCTTACAAAGTCATTGTTGTTATTCACTGCATAAATAAAGAGCTGCAACCAGTGGTTATGAATGGGCTGCTAAACTAATTTTTTTTCCTGTTTATTTTCTGCTCCCTTCCAGGTTTATGACAGGCCACAAAAACATTCTGCTCTGCACTATGATCCGGGCCTCCAACAAGACTTCACCAGTGACACCTTAAAATCAAAACACCAGCAGAAAAGTAGCAACCAGCACCACCTTGACTGGTCAGCGAGCTCCGACACTGGACCCGCTCCTCAGAGCTGCTTCATCAGCACAGAGCCCAGCAGAGAAGCAATTAGTGCCACCAAGGTCTCTGCTCTGGAGCCAGGAGTCTCCTACAGCAAATCCCAGGCCAAGAAGTCCTGCAGCAGCAGCAGCAGCAGCAGCAGCAGCAGCAGCAGCAGCAGCAGCAGCAGCAGCAGCAGCAGCAGCAGCTCGTGGGGGCAGCTGTCGGTCAGTAGTAAAGAGCTGGCAATTTGCAGCACAGTCCCATCACCCAACAGCATCAGCACGGCCACCCAGCCCAGCAGTGCCTCCGAGAGCAATGGGCTCTTGCCTCTTGGAGATCAAGAGGGAGCTGTGCAGCTGGAGGCCCCCGATCAGCCCGCTGGAAGTACAAAGAAGAAGTCCAGCAAGAAGGACTTGATGAGCCAAACCATGCAAACCACAGATATGGAGTGGGTAAAGAATGCTCAGAAAGCATTTGACAGCAAATCCCATGACAGCATGGAAGGGAAAAAGGAGTCTTACTCGATGGACAGCATGTTGGATATGTCACCCTCAAAGCAGAATCCCGTTTCTGCCGTCACTTGTGAAAGTGACACCAATCACGTACGAATTACTATCCCAATAAAGTCTCCGACAACAGATGCGTCGGGCCACAAAAGGAAAAAGAGGCAATCCATTAAATCCTCCATAGAGAAAACTATCCAGGAGAAAAGCCTGCCTTCCGTGCTTGCTTTGAGCAGTGAAATGGCAAACAGGACCAGCTCTCAACCAGAGGGGAGTAAAAAAGATGTTCGAGCCACAAAGCCAGGGAAAGTGATTGAAAATGAGTCCCCCTTAGTAGCAATTGACAGCGGTGTGTTCACAGACAAAGCGTCCCCCAACAATGCTGCCCGACCCAGAAAACCTCTACCTGTGACATCCACTCTCCTACCCACCAATCTTTCCACAGCTGGCAAGTTACCTGACATCCAGCACCCCAAACATGCAGCTAAGCGTCGGTGGACCTGCAGCAAACCTAAATCTATTATTCGGGAAACCTCCCTGACGACGTCTGAGAAGCTGATGGTGGAGCCTCCTTCAGCCTATCCCATCACACCATCCAGCCCTCTGTATACCAATACAGACAGTCTTACTGTGATCACACCTGTCAAGAAAAAAAGGGGACGACCAAAGAAACAGCCTTTGCTCACTGTTGAAACCATTCACGAGGGGACCTCCACCAGCCCAGTGAGCCCAATCAATCGTGAATTTCCAGGAACAAAGAAAAGGAAGAGGAGAAGGAATCTGGCCAAGTTTGCCCAGATGGTTCCAGGAGAGGACAAGTCCATCAGTGAACTCAAATTTCACAAAAAGGTCGGGAAACTTGGGGTCTTGGATAAGAAGACCATCAAGACCATTAATAAAATGAAAACCCTCAAGAGGAAGAACATTCTCAATCAGATCTTGTCCTCCTGCTCCAGCAACATAGCTCTGAAAGCAAAAGTCCAGCCACCATCTAGTGCTGGGCCGACCACCATTGATGCCAGGCTAGGGAAGCAGATCAATGTCAGCAAGAGGGGGACTATCTACATTGGTAAAAAACGGGGCAGAAAGCCAAGGGCAGAGCTGCAGCCTCAGCCAGAAGAACCTAAGACAGCCATCAAGCACTCAAGGCCTGTTTCCAGCCAGCCAGAAAACCCAGCAGTGCCTTCCAACCTGCAGTCACTTGTGGCATCGTCACCAGCAGCTATTCATCCGCTTTCAACACAATTAGTGGGGATCAACGGCAACCTCAGCCCTGCAAGCACTGAAACTAATTTTTCAGAGTTAAAAACTATGCCAAATCTTCAACCTATCAGTGCTCTTCCTACAAAAACCCAGAAAGGAATGCACAGTGGAACTTGGAAGCTGTCTCCGCCCAGGCTAATGGCTAATTCACCTTCTCACCTCTGTGAAATAGGTTCTCTGAAAGAAGTCACGCTGTCACCAGTGAGTGAGTCTCACAGTGAGGAAACCATCCCGAGCGACAGTGGGATAGGTACAGACAACAACAGTACCTCTGACCAAGCCGAGAAAAGCTCAGAATCCCGCCGGAGATACTCCTTCGATTTCTGCACCCTGGACAATCCAGAGGCTATCCCATCTGACACCAGCACAAAGAACAGGCATGGTCACCGGCAGAAGCATCTCATTGTGGATAACTTTCTCTCTCACGAAAGTATTAAAAAGCCAAAGCACAAGAGGAAAAGGAAAAGCCTGCAGAACAGAGATGACCTCCAGTTTCTGGCAGACCTTGAGGAACTCATCAATAAGTTTCAAGTGTTCAGGATTTCCCATAGAAGTTATACATTTTATCATGAAAATCCATATCCCAGCATCTTCAGGATTAATTTTGATCACTATTACCCTGTGCCATATATCCAGTATGACCCATTGCTCTATCTTCGCAGGACCTCTGATATGAAGTCTAAGAAGAAGCGTGGTAGACCTGCCAAAACCAATGACACCATGACAAAGGTGCCTTTTTTACAAGGGTTCGGTTACCCTATTCCCAGTGGGAGTTACTATGCACCCTATGGAATGCCTTACACATCAATGCCTATGATGAATCTTGGTTACTACGGTCAGTATCCAGCTCCTTTGTACCTGTCTCACACGCTTGGAGCGGCTTCCCCATTTATGAGACCTACCGTGCCCCCACCCCAATTCCATGCAAGCTCTCACATGAAGATGTCCACCACTGCCAAACACAAAGCAAAACACGGAGTGCACCTGCAAACCCCTGTGGGAATGGGCCTTGGAGACATGCAGTCCTCCTTGGCTCCTCCGAAGGTTGGAGGAACAAGCCTTTCAAGTGGCCGACTTCACAAGAGGAAACACAAACATAAGCACAAGCATAAGGATGAGCGGATATTGGGGACTCACGAAGATCTGAGCGGTCTCTTTGCTAGCAAGTCCACTGGCTTCTCCAGCCACACCATCAACGAGAGGCTGAGTGGCTCAGACAAAGACCTGTCCTTGCTCAACGAGAAGAGCAAGCACAAGGAGAAGCAGAAGCACCAGCATTGTGAAACCGGGCACAAAGGCTCAAAGAGTAACTTTGAAGTGGATACGCTGTCTACGCTATCACTTTCTGATGCCCAGCAGTGGTCACAGAGTAAAGATAAAAGCGACTCAAGCAGTGATCCCATTGACTCTTGCACAAAGAGATACTCTGGTAATACTGAGAGTAATGGAAGGTCAGAGTCCCTGGACATGTTCAGTGAAATAAATTCCTCAAGTGAGAAGCGGGACAATGATGCAAGTGGGAATAAAAGAAGAAGCTTTGAAGGCTTTGGAACTTACAGGGAAAAGGACATTCAGCCCTTCAAGACAAATAGGAAGGACAGAAGTACTTTTGATTCTTCAGCCTCTTCAGGTAAGCTTTGTCTTATTCTATTTTACTTTGACTATTTGCTGCACTTGAATTTCAATGCTAAACAAAGAGGGACTCACCATTTACAGCAAATACATTTATGAGATAATAACTTTTCTTGCTTCTTGACTATCATTCTTCATCCAAACTTAGGGGAGATCAACAAGAAAGTTGGCCACAACTTAAGCCCAAAGTTTTACAAGTCTTCTAGTTCTTACACAATACTTTTAGAGATATTTGTCCTGCCTTGACTTATCTCTCTTGTTGCACTTCTTCCTAAAATCTGACCATTGCATTTTGCAACAGCAGCAATTGTAATACCTGCTGGCAAGGTGGTCATCCTTCTAATCAGTGTCTAACATCACAGGATCAAAGTCAATGTCCAGCATCTGGGAGAAGAGCACAGAGTCTCTGCTCTGGCCCTTAAAGTGACCGAAACCCATTTGTTGCTGGGGTGAACCAGACAGGCGGGAAGGTGTGAAGCTGTGTCTGTGTCCCATTAATGTGTTCTACTGCTGATCCAGAGGCATCCACCATGGTGATGGCTGGGCTGAATATTTAGAGATCCTGAGTACAGTCCTAATGTAAATCTGTCACTTCCAGTCCACAGGTGTAATGTAAAATAAATATCCTGAGCACTGAGGGCTGTGGGAAGGGACTGGTGTCATGGAAACAAACACTCTCCAATGGACTCTGAAGAGTTTTAGGTCTCATGACTTGGAAATATAAGCTGGGTAGATGAAGAGGGAGGAAGCTCCTTTCAGCTGCTAAGGACATCTGTTCCTCTCCTGCAGAGTGGGGAAAAAGGGAATCTGAATCTTGCCTGAGAGAGTGAATTGTACTTTACAATAGGGAGCTGCTTTTGTGATGACACAGAGGCAGGTGTTTTGGTGCATTACAAATGAATTTAGCTTGGGAGCAAGCCCAGTGCTTCTACACCATCAGATATTTATCACAAAGCAGATTTCACACTTAGCTGTGGAGAGGGGTGAGCTTTTCTGAATCAACCAGTGGTGGATGAGATTCTGATGTGCTAAAAAAAGGGCTTCAAAGAAAAGTAGCTGATAGCCTTCAAAATTAAAAGAAAATTAACTGAGAACACAGGAGTAGAGAATTTGTACAACTTGCCAATGTAAGGATGTAAAGTTTTTTACTGACTTGTAACTGATCGAGTTCCAAAGACAGCTCATGCTTAAGCCACCTAAACATTTCCAATTCCTTCACTGAGACCAGAATATGAAATATAGTAGTGAAAAATGGTCTGAAATGACAGATTACCCCAAGAAACATTCCCATTCATGATATCATATTATATTAGACCAGTTGTGACATCAAAAAATGATACATCTAAAAATATAGGAAAAGAGATTTAAATAAGTCTCTGAACATCAGAGTTGCAACATGCCTGACAAGGAACAAAGATATTCTCCACCAAGTGCTGCAGTGGCTATTTCATTAAGGAAGCTGGGTCCTGGTACATAGGATTAAAAGGCTTCAAAGTGTTTAACAAGCTTATTTTTCAATTTTTTTTTTAATGGAAGTTCACATTTTTCACAGTTTGTTAACAGCCTTTGCATTTGTAGCCTTTTTGCTCTTTTAACAGAAGATGTTTGCTAAATCTGCTAAATTTTCAATATATTTCACTAAGGCATAGCAAACTGTCAAAATTCCCAACAGCGTTGAACTCAAATTAGTTTCCAAAGTAGGGGCATGATCCCCACCAGGCTGATTTGAAGATGGAATTAGTAAAGAAAAAGTAGATTTCATGTTATTTTCCTTCCGTTTATTCCCCATGACAATAAACGTATAAGATGGAGGGCTAGAACTTGTCATGGGGATGCCATAAGAATTGCAGTTTAAACTTTTTAAACTAGCTCTTGTTTAAACTGAAATTAGCATTTTAATTTATTTTTTGTTCTTCATGCTTACAGCCGCGCAGCATTCCCCATGACCTAATCCATCACCTCTCAGATTATTAATCAATTTCTTCATTGTCATGCTATTATTTAGATGGAAAAATCATCAGCAGTTAGCTAGCAGAGCCAGATAACCAGAGCCATACCTTGCACTACAAGGAAAAATACTAAAACTAAACAGCTCTGCCAAGAAAGGCCTGGAGCCAAGACTGCTCATTAAAGCCTAGAAACATCTGTCTGCTTATGAGTGCCTAAGATCTCAGTGCAGCTTTTTTTTCCTCTCTGCCTTTGACCTTCGCTGGGATTCCCAGCAGAGGTCTGCACTTGAGTCTAGCCATAACTATTTAACCAGTTCCCACAGAGGGAGGATTGCTCTCTTCCATGATAACCTTCACCTTCTTGCTCCTAACTCACCTTGCATTTCCCTGAGGAGATTGACTAATCAGAGAAATATAAGGAAAAAGAAAAAAAAAGAAAGCCCTACGAGGACATATATGTCCATCGTAGGAGGCAACTTCCATAGCCTGATTGCTCTTTCCTTTCAGTATTTGTCATCTGTCACAAGTTAAAAATAATACATAACAGAGATAAGAGGAGACATCCTGAATATTCTGATGAAAGCTGAAATTAGATTTGTATCACAATTTCAGTGTTATCTCTACTACACATTGTGGTGTGCTCAGTAGTGCCATTTGCAACTTCATTGCATTCTTCTGGAGATAATATACATATCAAAACCTACCCACACTCAGTGGATATATCTGTGATGAGAGGTATGAGAGAACCACTTATGTTTTTTTGGGTTATTCAGACACTGCAATTTGTTTCAGTGTGGTGTGCAGCTGCAGGTACCATTGTGTTGTTGTTAATTTATGTTTTTGTCTCTGTTGTGACAGCTCTTAGCCATTTCTGAGAAGTTTGGTGTTCCTTGGTGATAAATAGTGGCCCTGCTTATGGTAGAAAATAGTCCCGTTGTTCAATCTTTAAGCCTAGGCATGATTTTACTATCTAGAAAGATATAGGCCATAAAGGGAAGAGCTGTCCTTCATATCTTTGGGAGAAGCTGATTGCAGTCCTGGCTCAAGAAAGGTGCTTGGCACAGGTTTCCCAGAGAAATTATGGATGTCCCATTCCTGGAATTGTTCATGGACTTGGTTGAAGTTTCAGTACTGTTGCTAGTGGAAGGTGTCCCAGCTCAGCCCAGGAGGTTTGGAAATTGATGACCTTTAAAGGTCCCTTCCAACCAAGCTATTCCATGATTCTGTGATTTGATGTGGAAATCTGTGCCTGAAGTGAGCAGACCCATTAAGGGAGTGTCACCAGTTACTTTGGTTGGTCACAACAAAAGTCCATTTATTGTCCTGCACCAGCCTGGACTATCACTGGCCATTCTTTAGTGGAGACCTTGTGAGCTTTGAGCCAATGTACATCTTTTGGGACCATTTTGGGCTAAATGTGCAGTGGCTAATTTCCCAGTGGCCTGTTCCACACCATTGTTCTGGAAAAGCTGGTGTTCCTCCTTCCTTCATAATAACAAGCTAACAACTCTTCCCATCCACTCCTCATGTACTGTTGCATCCTGGTGCCTTTTTCTGAAATTGCTATTTTTGCTAGATTTCTTGTCCTCATCCAACCCTCCTGCATTTAGAAAGACTAATTAATCAAAACTAATTTAACAGTGCTTTTCTATTTAGCTGAAGACTATTCCAGTGGCATTAGCCTGGTCTACAGGCAGGAGTACAGCAGAAAGTGTTTCTGATCCTGCCTTGCCGCAGACACTTGGGCACATCCTAGACTGAGCTGTCAAGCTGTGTGCACCAAGCATGGGCTCAGTTGACTCCTTCCTTCCCACAGTCAGAGGTACACCTCAACACACTTGCAAAGCAGCCTTGGAGTCCCTCTGGCACTGTGTGACCTGAGGCACTCTGCACAGCTGGTTGGCTGAGCCTTTCATCTGCTTTTCAGGAGTTACTGAAGCCCCAGGTGAGGGGCCCAGGGAGAGGTCACAGATTGGTGCTGCAGCTGGGCTGGGGAGACCGAGAGTAGAGCTGTTTTAAAGAGGCAAACTCCACATCTCCTTGTCATGTGTCTGCCTGATGTGTCCTGTCATGTGTCTGTTTCCTGATGCTGGAGAAGAGACTTCCACTGCTGATGAGCAGCCTCAATGCCATAGCTCGTCCCACAGAAAAAAAGCAAGATTGTTTGTCCCTTACTTTTTTTCCTTAGGTGAAATAATGAGGAAAAGCACATTTAACCTTTTAAGACGCACAAATAAAATGGCAATTTGCATGTACAACCTGTCAGATTATGCCCTCGTTACAATCACTGCAGGCCAGGATGTAGCTGGAGGTGAAGCAGAGGTTGAGAGTTGCTGTATGCAGGGCTACATTTCTAATTTTCTTTGTCGTGAGACTAATCAAGGTCTGTGCTACTTTACTGTCACACTATTTATGCCTCCTTGGTTTTTTTTTTTTAAATAATGATTATGTGAACAAAGATTGCCTTGCTTGCGTGTTGGGTATCATGGCTCAAAGATCAGGAAGTGCATTGGTTTTATCAGATACAGCACAGACACCACGCACAGTATATTTACAGGAATAAAAAGTTAATCACATGCAGCTATTAGGAAAGCAGTAATCATCAGCCTCTGAATGCTGGATAGCTAGCATGAAAAACACGCTTTATAAATTAATGCTTAACTTACCTACAAGCCTCCCAGGCTTTCCCCCCTCAATGTCCAGCAGTGCTACTTAGCTGAATTTCTTCTGACTTGAATTTCTGGCTTGACCTTTCCTCCTTATTTGTTTTGTACAGCGCTGGTTTTACTCTTGAAGGAATCAGTATCAGCTTTAGCCCTGATCAGTCACAGTTTTACACTGAGAAGGGATCAGTATCTCAGTAGTGGATAAGCATATTTGTTCTAAATGTATGTGGCAGATGTACGTAAGTAGTGTTAGCCAATTGCCTTATTAAACTTTGCTGATTTTTCGTATGATAATACTTTCCACAAATAATTTATAATTTTACATAGGCCTGGAATCACAATGTTGGTTCATTATTCTCCAGTGAATTCACTGTTTCAGTGAG